GTGTGTGTGTGTGTGTGTGTGTGTGTTTTTGCACGTGTGTGTGTGTGTGCAGGTTGGGGCTGCGTGGTGTGTTGATGATGTCATCATGAGGTGGCGGGGCTGGAGGACGAGCTTAGCCTGGCGTTGGTGAGGGGCCGGGGCGGGGCGGGGCGGTCGGCGGCTGCGTGTCGAATGAATGAAGAGGGCGGAGGGGGTTGGGCTGCCTGGAGGTCAAGCTGGGGCTGACACTCATGTATGCGTGTGCGTGTGGAAATGTGTGTGTGTGTGTGTGTGTGTGTGTGTGTGCACGCGCACTCAGGTGGGGGCTGTGTTGTTGTTTAGATGATGACGTCATCATGAGGCTGCGCTATGTGTTGATATGTGCAACAGCGACCGGGTGCGGTGATCACACGCCCTGGAGTGTGGGAAGCATGAAAGGATGAAGCTGCGTGGGGAGGGGTCGGAGCGGGGCCGGCGCGGCCGGGGCCTGGGGCGTGGCGATAGGTCGTTATCCATGTGGTGGTGCGCAGGGCGGCGTCGGTGTGCGGGATGGCATGGCGCGGAGTGCGTTGCGGCCGTCGCGGACGGATCCAGGGGCGAGGGGGTGCGCGCGCCACAAACAGCTTAGGAGCGCAAACAGCGGACGCCTTCAGAGTTGTGTGCGCGTGCGTGCCTCCATCCACGCCCTGTGTCAGGTGCATTATCAGCGCGGCCAGTACCAGGAGGCAACGGGTGAGAGTGGGGGAGGGACAGACACCAGTCTCCGATGCATGCATTCGCGCGGCTGTGACACTAAACCAGGCTCAAACGTGACAACCCGTTTGGGCACACACTCGCGCGCCTGCGCGCGCGCGCGCGCGCGTGTGTGTGTGTGTGTGTGTGTGTGTGTGTGTGTGTGTGTGTGTTTTTGCGTGCGCGCATGGGCATGGGCGTGTGTTTATGGTCCTCACACACCATAATGTCAACCTCGAGAAAGAACAAGGGCACATGCATATGCACACACACACACGCACGCACACACGAACACCAACACATACACCTCTTAACCGCCAGACACGTACAAGCGCCTGCTGCTTTCTCACCGTGAATTTACGGCCCTCAATGTCTACGTGGCGCTCTGCTACGCCCGCCTGGACTACTATGACGTCAGCCAGGTGGCCGACGGCCCGCCCGTGCTGACCTGGTTGACCCGTTTGACCGGGTTTGACCGGACGTCTGCTGTCTGTTTTGGCCAGCACGAGCTGTTGCGAATACGCCAGGCTGACAAATACTGCCTTATGAGGGGTTAATTGCCCCGCCAATTAAGACGCCGAACACGATCCGTGTTGCGCATTCCTCTGCCTAGCTTGCATTGTCGGGTGACCTGTGCTTTTGCAGCCGCACGTAGATCCTGCGCGGGTGCGATTCCACGCGCGGCCGCGGTGCACTCAGCGGAGCGCATTGAGTTTAATGCTGTGTCTCACCCGCTCCCCCAGGTGCTCCCACGATTCACATGACTCATACACGCTCCCGTCACCTCCCCCCCCCCTCTTTCTATCCCTCCCAAATCTTCCAGGAAATCCTCTCATCCTATCTCTCGAGCCACCCCACCAGCCCCATGGCGGTCAATCTCAAAGCCTGCAACGCATTCAGGTGGGGCCAGGGGACCTGGAGGGTCACTTCTTGCACAAACGACGGCGATCGTGCGTCACACACGTGCGCATGGGCGTGGGCAAGGACTGACAGAAGCGCGCTGCTCTGCTGAGGGCCGCGCGCCTGCCACAGCACCTAGCAAGGTTGCCACCCACGCCTTGGCCTCGCGTCGCTGTTTGAGTTTGAAGCCTGGGTGTGGAAAGTCATCCCGCTCGGGTCCGGGCACACACCTCTTTCCGCCGCAGCCCCGCTGCACCTGGCCCTCAATTATCAGAAGCTTTGACATGCGTGCAGAGGGAGCGCTGTCTGGGCAGCTAGCTGCATGGTGATACTCGACACAGCTGATAGACAGGAACCCCCACTGAATGACCAACCGTCTCCCCCATCAAACCACGAGCTCCGTCCCCATTGTCCTTCTGCCCCCCAGGCTGTCTGATGGCAAGGCGGCCGAGGCGGCGCTGCGGTCGCTGCAGGACGCGGGGGCGGGGCGGGCGCTGTCGGAGCAGCCGCTGCTGCGCCACAACGTATGCGTGTTCAGGAGCGGGGAGGGCGCGCTGCAGGTGCGCGTGCAGCGCGGCGAGGCGCGGCAGCGTTGCAGCCTCGTCGCCTCTTGCGTGTGTGCCGCCGACAAGGGAGGGGCTTTTGCCTGTCGATGTCCTTTTGGCGTGTGTCGGCTTGCGGCCTGCCTGGCGCCATGGTGGGGCGCAGCAGCAACTGAAGCACGGGCACTGCTCGAGAGCACGCCTGCGCCCGCAGTCGCCTGCCGAGCGCGTCGCGTCCGCGCTCCACGCGCGCACCAAGCGGCCCGCGCTCTGCCTCACCCCTGCCAAGATGTATCACGCCGCCGCCTTGGCACCGCGCGCCGCCGTCGGCGCGATGCAACGTGCTGCGATTGCGACACGCTGTGCCGCCGCCGCACACACGCGCAGGTGCTGCCGAGCCTCAGTGGCGTTCTGCCAGAGGCGCGGCTCAATCAGGTGTGTTTCGTTGTTGCCACAGGCGCTCATGCCTGTCCGTCCACCATCCGCCGATGTTAATTGCAGAATACATATCTCGAAGGCAACAGGGTTTTGCAGATACAGGGGGTCGCTGCGAGGGCTGTCTGACAGGAAGCCACCCACAAAGCGGGCAAGACCCGTGCCGCATGAGCGACCCGCTGCACACGCGCACACGCGCACACGCGGTCAGGAGCGCGCCACAGCCTTGCTTCACGCCGCCGTCTGCAGCACAGGTCGTGCAGTGCGCACGAGCGCAGGTCCTAGCCCCCACCTATGCTAGAAACCCAACGTTCGGCTGTATGCTCGGACAATGTTCACATCCACACGCAAACCTTTTTGCATAATTGAGAGATCAGATGCGCAACGTTCTCACGCAGGTCATATTCCACCTGCGGCGGGGGGACGTGGGCGAGGCGTACGCGCTCGTGAGGGACGCGGCGCCCGCGACGCCGCAGGAGTACATCCTCAAGGCGCGCCGCGGCCGAAACGGCTTTTGGGGGGGGGGCATATGCTGCACGGGGCTTTGAAGGCTGGGGGGGCTGGCGGCTGAGGCTCTGGGGTGACGGTGGGCAGCGGCTGCAGCTCGAGGGGCTGGGGGGGGGGTGACGGCTGGGGCTTTGCCGCAGGTGCGGCGTGGGGACTGCGCGTGGCGAGGCAGGGCTTGATCTGGTCCGCTGTGCAGCTGTGCTCAAGAGCGGCGCTGCTGAGAAAGGCGCAAGGAACCATTGAAGGGAGGGGAAGCGTGGCGCCATGTGGTTGCAAAAGGAAAGACGGCTGGGTGTTTTGCACTACGGCAAGCTCACATGCGCCCATACACACACACGCACGCACGCATGCACGCATGCGTGCACGTGCACACATCAACCAATAGCCCACACCTGCGGCCCCACCACCCCCAGGCGGTGGTGTATGCGGTGCTGGGTCAGCGCGAGGGCAGCGCAGACCTCCTAAAACAGGCGCAGCAGGACTTCCAGGTGGGCGGCCCCACATTTTCTGATTGCAGGCAGGGTGCTCTCAATCCGAGCCTGCAGCCCCCTGGCTGCAAGCAGGGTGATCTCAATTGACTGGAGGCTGCAAATCCCCTGGTTGACGGCAGTGTGCTCCCAATCGACGACCTGCATTTGCATCGCGGCGGTACAAGGCTGCAATCATGATTTTGAGGGTGGATTGGTGTCGGTCGTGTGTCCGTCTAGGGGGCAGGTCAGGTCTTTCAGAAGCGCGGGATGCTTGCTGATGGACCAGTAGGGGACCTGGCTGTTGCACCAGTCCAAGGAACGGCGACCCGAGGATGCGCCTTGCGCCCTCGCCCACCCGCTGGCTACCCACTCGCACCTCGGCTCGCCCCAGCACACAGCGCCCACCCCTCCGCACCCCGTCCCCCCCTCCCCCAACAAATATCTATCCCCGCCCCACGCCTCAGGCCGTGGGCGCGAGCCCTGCGGAGTGCGACACGATCCCCGGGCGCCAGGCCATGGCCTCCTGCTTCTTCCTGCTGCGCCAGTTTGACGACGTCCTGGTGTTCCTGGAGGTGAGTGGGCTTGTGAGTGTGTGAGTGTGTGTGTGTGTGTGTGTGTGTGTGTGTGTGTGTTGCTTTGCATGTGTGTGTGTGTGCGTGTGTGTGTGTGTGTGTGCGTGTGCGCGCGAGGGTGCATGTGTGTGCGTGTATGTCTCTGTGTGCTTCATGTTTGTGTGTGAGTGGTGCGTGTGTAAGTGTCGATTGTGTGTATGTTTGTGTGCGTGCGCGCGGGCATGCGCGTGGGTGCATGCACCATTGTGTGTTCAAAACTCGCTGCGCTTGGCCCCACCGCCCACCGAACCGCGCGTCAGTCCGTGCGGTCCTACTTCCCCGACGATGACGACTTCAACTGGAATTACGGCATAGCCCTGGCCGCAGCCGGGCGCCACGCGGAGGCCGAGGCCGCGCTGGCAGCAGTGACGAGCGAGGCCTACAGGTGCGGGCTAGCCTGCTGGCTCCAGGGGACGGCGTGCAGGTGCTAGCCATGGCCTGCCGGCTGCAGGGGCCGGCTGGCAAGGCCGGCAACTAGGGTGCTTTTACCCTTTTTCGAAACCCTAAACCTACCTCCATTGCAAAGGGGCCGGGCCCTGCAGTTATCCATATGCATGTGGGCGTATCTACACACATGTATGCGTATTTTGCAAAACATTTGTGTCTTTGCGTGTGCACTGGTAGGGGTGCAATCATCAATGCTGGCATGGCTCCCACCATGCCAGCAAGTCACGCCTCTGCACACGCGCGTCGCAGCACAAGGACCGCCCCCACACCACAAATCCCCTGCCATGGACTGCCGTGCGGTCCCAGTCGTCGCCCCGGCCCCGTGCCCACGCCTGCCCACGCCCCGCGCCCGCGCCCCCGCCCGTGCCCGCACCCCTTTACCCGCCTCAGGCGCGAGGACGCTTACGTGTCGTGGCTTGCCAAAGCCCTGATCGCCACCGGCCGCGCCCCCGCGGCCTGGGAGCTGTACGCGGCCCACGAGGCGTCGGGGGCGGCGGAAGACCGGGGGGCGCTGCTGCGGCTGATCGCGAACGACGCGTATAAGATGGGCCAGTTTGCGGTAGCGCTGCGGGTGGGTCGGGCGCGGGGTTGTGCGAGGGAGTTTGGGGCGGCGTGGTATTGTCACCTTGGCAGGGCGGGCGTGTGTGCGGGGCGTGGGACGTCTGGCGGGTTACTATTGGGGACTGGCCTGCGCGCGAGCTTGTGGGCGGCAGGACCTTCGACACGCCGCGCCCCACACCAGGCCACCCCCGGCGCCCAAGGCCTGGGCGCGCACCTGCTGCCTCTCGCGCCGCGAGCCATCTTGTCTTTGTGTGGTGCATACGTGCCAGCGACTAACCCGGCCCTGCTGTGCAGCTGCCAAGCACGCCTGTACTCCAGACATTCTTGAGGCTTGGCCCCCACCCACGCACGCACGCCGACGCGTCAACCCAGTCTGAAACAAGCTCGCTCCATGCACGCACGCGCATTGACACTGAAATGCATCGCAGGCATTCGACGCCCTGGAGCGTCTTGACCCCGACCCGCAGCACTGGGAGGCGAAGATGGGTTCGGCCGCGGGGGTGCTGCAGGCGGTCATTGCGGGTGCGCAGGGTGGGCGGGTTGCCACACCTGACAAGGGCATAAGGGGGGGTGTGAGGGCAAATTACCGTAGATGTGGGACTGAGGAGTAGGGCGCTGTCACTGGTGGGCACGGATGAATTGAGTTTGTGGATGTGTGTGCGTGGGGAAGGTGAAGTGGCGCATTCGTTTGTGCGCAAAGGGTTGGGTGTATGTGTGTGAACGGGCGTGCTGGAGGGGAGGGGCCGGGGTTGCGAGGGCGCCGGTGCATCAGGCTTTGCGCGATGGGGCGCCATTTGCACAGCGCGTATCATTGGCGGGGAGCTTTATGTTCAATGCTTCATGAGGCGCTGCTGAATCCCTGCTTTAGTCACGCCTCAAGGGACCCATCACCACGCGCGCCCACCCAGGCAAAGAGCATCCCGAGGCGCTGTCAGACGCGGCGGCGGTGCTGGCCGCGGGCCCGGCCAGCGGCGCGCCGGCGGGGCCCGCGGCCGGCGTGATGCTGCGGGTCATTAGGGGCTGGGCGGCCGACAATGGGATCGAGCTGGATGTCTGAGGGCGGGGGCTGCGTGGTGGATGGGGGGGGTCGGTGGCGGACCAGCTGAGGCGCTCTGATGTGGTTGTGGTGGCGGCGGCTGCCTGGTTGTTTCCTTCCTTCTCTCCGGCGCGGATCTGTCCCAGGCTGCCAATTCTGTTTGGACGACAATGTGTTGATTCGAAATTTCCTGTCAGCGTTGGATGTGCAAGTGTGATGCAGGTATATGGGTTTGTTCTGTGGACATAAGGGTGAGAGGTGACGGAGAGCGGGGCAGAGGGCTCGTATGGTGGAAATGCAGCGTTATCTTAGCTGCAGAAGCGGGAAAGAGGACAGCAGGCCAGCAGGGGGAGCGATAGGAGCCTTGCGTGGTGCCAGGAAGGTGGCAGTTGTTGCGGTACCGTCCCATGCTCACATGCGGCGCGTAGCACCCCGTACCAGTAGCGGCACACACAGCGGTTGTGGCGCCATAACAACAATCTTTACCGCATATTAGCGCGCTTCAAACACCGAACGGCCATGGAGTACGGTAGAAAGCGAGAGAGCCGCCCAGTGTCGGGTGCATGACTATGAGACCCGACATAGACATTACCATGCTGCTTAGCCAAGCAACATATTCGGTTCTTAAGTATATAACAGGTTAATACTCAGGGCACTCGCTCCAGTTCACCCGGAGTCTTTCTGATCGCCGCGTTTCACAACTTGGGCTCTCGCACCGCGGCGGTGTTAGAGGCATTCCGTCGCAGACAACAACCCAAACATGGAATTACTTACAAATTACACATATAAGGGACCAGGAGGGCGTCGCGCACAGACAGTCCCCATGCGCCTGGTGCCGCTCGCCGTGCTGCTGCTCCTGGCGGTGCCTGCGCCCAGTGCAGCGCAGCGCCCCCAGGACCTGTGAGCAGTGGGTAGGGGTCAACCGTGTTGCTTGAAGACGCGCATGGTGTCTTTCGCGTGCATCTCACACCGATACATGCTCGAGGGCACACAGACATGCACGCACCTGCTGCCAAAAGGACCTGCGCCCCCGCAGTGACCCAGCCACACCGTCCGAATATGGCACTTACGTGGTATGCCGCTTGGAACCTCCACCTGGATGTGCAGGATGCGAATGGAGAAGAGGCGGCAGGATTACCTCAACTCAATCAACCAAATCAGGAGTGACGCCGAGGGTGAGGCACCTGGCAGCCGCCTGCGATTGGGCCAGCAGTGGATGCCCCAAGCCTGCCTATGTAAATAATCATGCGCTACACTTGCCTGCATGTGCACATGCGGACGTGCAGCTCTACCCCAGCTCATGCTTGGTCACAAGCTGACTGCAATAATTGCCAGCACGCTGAACCCCACCACCGATGTCGTCAACTAAACTTCAAAACTGACTTGTGCACGACATTGAATTAACGCTTTTCCAATTACCAGCACACAAAGCCGCGACCGGCGGCGTGTCCGCCAGCGCCGCCCCCGGCCGCTTCACGCTGTGGCACAAGCTTCCCGCCCTGCAGCCCGGCCCCCGCCAAGAGCGGTGTCCCAAGTTCTCAAAGGCCAACCTGACAGACGCGTTCACAGCGCGGTGGCCCGAGGCGGGGGACTCGCTTGTGTTCAACCAAGCGTACCAATGGCACGACACTGACTGCTATGTGAGTGCGCACGCATGCGGCGAGCAGCTTCTGTGCAGCTGCACGGCGCACGCCCGCAATACACACGCCACCCGCAGCCCCGGCTGGGGGGTGAATGAGGCAGCTGCATTGCCAGCGCGACTCACCGGTTAGGGAAGCGTTACATGAAAACGTGTTGCTGCAGCAAGCACACTTGAGGTCAAGGAGGCGGTAGCTGGGTCATCAACAAGGTGCCTTGACAAGTCAAGGGCATTGCAAATCGCGCTGCCAGGCAGCGCGAGGATGGTGACCTGCACATACATGACGTGTGTTCACCCCTGATTCAACAAGCTCCCCTTACCTTCCGCCACCCGCGCGTGCAGATGTTGGTGTTCGTCCAGCCAGGGGCCGCCTCGTCGATGGAGTCTGACGTGGCGGCTGCTCTTGGCGGCGCAAACCCAGTGGACGCGTACTGCAAACTCCTGGGCGGCAGGTGGGGGCCGATCCTGGAAGGCAACACGCTTGTCGGCTCAGGGGCGCCGCATGTACAGCAAACACAGTTGCCCCAAAATCAGAAGTTTGCTGTGGTCTCTCCACCATTATAGCGAGCAGTTTGCAAGCGAGGCTGAGTTGCGAACAAACTTTGTGCAGCATCCAGTGTTGTCGTCTGTGCTGTTGTTAAAACCTCCCCCCAAGCCGCTGCCAATGCAACATGCAGCCTGCCGCTACCCTGCCTGCCTTCCCCGCAGCTTCTGCTCCGACATCAAGGCGTTCTACCAGGCGGGGCTGGAGAGCGTGAGGCTCAACGAGAAGGCCCCTGCCTACTGGCCGGGCGACCCAAAGTGCGCAGCTGCTTGGGGGCGGGGAGCCCTCGGGTCTTCTGAGTTCGCGCGGCTGTGGCGCGCTATCACACCTCGTCACATGCAGATGTTTAAAATTATCTTTACCATACACCACCAGTCGGCAGAGGCAGCTGATACCTCCCCAATTTTGGAGTGCTTCCTCCTTGTCTCCGCTCTCTCCACCCACAACCTGACCACTCCCCGCACCCTCCCCACCCCCCATGCAAAAGGTGCGAGAAGCGCTTCTTTGACCAGAGGCTTGACCACTTTGACTCCAGCAGCACGCAGACCTTCAAGCAGATGTACTACGTGAGCAGTGTGGCAGCACAACCTTGTGTTTGAAGGGTTGTTTCCAAGGACTTGGCGGGGGCCTCAGGAGCTGAGCTTGGCTGGACAGTCCTGGTCAAAGCCCGTTGCCATACCACAAGGTGCAGCACCCGCGCTCAGGCGCCTCTGCTCAAGGGTTTATTGCAAATTCTAACTACGTGCGCAGGTCTGCTCGGAATTCTGGCCCTTGGACCCCGCTGTGCAGAAGGAGAAGGGCACGATTATATTTGAGCAGGGGGCTGAATCCGCCCTGTCAGGCGTCCCGATGTCAGCGATGATCTGGGACCATGCCGCCCCTTACAACGCGCTGGTCCTGGCTCTGGAGCACAGGTGAATAGGGTCGATAGGGTTTGAAGGGCGTTGAGAGTAGACGACTGGCAATCTCTATTGCACGACCCGGAGCTTGCATGCGCCTGGACCACCCGTTTGGTTCCGGGCACCACACGGACGAGGCTCCCTGTTTAGCGCTGATGCGTTCAGGCCCCGGGAAGGCTCCGGTCAAACCTGGTCAAACCGGGTTTTGAGCCCCTCTCAAATTTTTCTCAACTATGCCAGGTACTATGGCGAGTCATTCCCATTCGAGCCGCCAGAGACGGCTTACGTGCCGACCAAGCAGCTGCGGTACCTCGACGTCGACCAGGTGACTAATAGCGCGACTCATCATATGTGCATGCCTGACCCCATTTTCATCAAGACTGGGTGTGGCGGGGCCTGGACCACGCATACTGGGTGTGTGTTGATTGCATTTTGGCGGTGCGTGCTGTGCAGCACAGACGTGTGCATGAGGACCCGCCTGATTACGCAAGCACTGCTCGTCACGCTTTTGCCCCTGACAGGTCCTGCAGGATGCCGTCTACTTCTTGGCAGAGATGCGCAAGCAGATGGCCATCCCCGCCGCCGTCCCCGCGGTCGCGTTTGGCGGCAGCTACGGGGGAGAGGTCGTCTCATGGCTGAGGGCGTCCCAGCCCGACGACTTTTCCGCCGCGATTGCCTCCAGGTGAGCGTGTGCGCTGCGAAGTTGTCGAGAATGAAGAGGAGGCAGACGCAGCTGTTTCAACACCTGATTCGATGCGTCCCAGCAGTCAGGAGTCCTGGGGCACTGGGAATCCAGACCCAACTCCACAAATGAGAGGCGCCTCAATCCTCCCTGGCCTCTCCGAGATTCTGTTGTTGCCACTCCCATTACCGAACCATGCCGCTCAAGCCCACCCCAGAACCAAAGCAAAGCAACCCAACTCGACCACATCAAACCACACCCAACCCACCCTAATGAACGCCCCCTCCATTGTCTAACTCCTCCTCCTCCCATGCACCCGCAGCGCCCCCGTCCAGTTCGTTGTAGGCACCCCTCGCTGGGCCAAAAACGGCGACCTCTACCACGAGGCCGTCGCCGCCGCCATCCGCGCCGCCCACCCCCAGTGCAGCGGCCTCATCCGCCGGGGCCTGGACGAGATCAAGCGGCTCAGCAGGACCGCCTCGGGGCGCAGCGAGCTGGCGCGGCGGATGGGGATTTGCGAGGGGGAGCCCGAATTGACTGAGGCGTCGGCGATTGCCCTGGCGGAGCGCTTCTACTGGATGTTCCCCAGCTTTGCCCAGGTGTGTGTTGCGGATTTGGAGGACTGTCATGTGCCACCGTCCCCGGCAATCCAGGGTCCTGAGTGTCGAGGAAGTCGCGGGGTGCCGCCGCCTATCGTTGGTCGCTACGCTCAATCTCAAGTTTGTTGCCGCCGCTGAGCTGGCGCAGTGGGCGCTGCGTCATTTGCTGTTCCTGCCCACCTGTCCTGCCACAGACTCACAAAAGCCTCGTCTCTCCACGCGCCTTCCCCCCCTCCACACACACACACACACACACATATACACACACGCACGCACGCACGCTCACACACAGTACGACAATTCGCCACCGGTGTACGGCACCCTTGCCGCCGCGTGCAACGCGGCTGTCGCCGCCGCCGCCGAGGCCCCGCCGAGCGACAAACTGGCTGCGATGAGGGGCCTCGTGGACTTCGAGAGCAACACGATGAAGTACAATGAGTACATGGAGTGCTATCTGTATTCTGAAGATGGCAAAGACAATGACCGCCTGGTGGGTGGCGCGCCCTTGGAACAGATAACACCCGTCTGCCGGCCAACCCCCGTTTGTTGTTGCAACCCAACGACGCCGGGCTGCGGCCCGGGTGCGCGCGAAAGGTGGGGGGGCGTTGAGGCCCTTGATTTCTGCACGCAAGAGGCTTGGCTTGCAAATTGCACGCCGTCGAGCGCGCCCGCCACGCGCGCGCCCGCGCGCCTGCAAAGCACGCGCTCGCGGCTGGGCGGTTTCGCTCGCGCGGCGGAATTGGGGGCGCCGCCTGATTCGTATGCTCACAAATGGGATCTCTTGTGTTGCCAGGTGTGGGACTTCAAAACCTGGAGTGCGGAGTTCTTGAGTTACACACTCTACAGCTACCAGGTGGGCTAGCCGACCGACCTACTGTGTGCGTGCTTGCGTGGAAATATCAGCACTCGTCCTGTCTTGTTGCTAGTGTGGGCGCACGGGTCCTCGTTGCGTGTGAACCCTAGTGACTGGCTGTTTCTTCACACGTTGACAGCCATTACAACACAGTGCATCGCCCGCCTCACGATGCCCCCTGCCTCCATTGCTCGCCGCCGCAGTGCTGCGCCAACGGGGCGGTGTTTGCCAACTTTATGACGCGCAAGGCCGACCGCCACGACGCCTACCTCTCCTACACCGTGAGGAAGGAGAACGTGGTCCGCGACTGCCAAGAGGTCTTCGGAGACGGGTGAGAAACCCCCGCACAGCGGATATCACAATGGCCGTGCTTCAGGGAGCGCATGGCTGAGGGGCGGCCCCCTTCCTTTTCGCACGCGGTGTCCCAGTGGATACTCTCCACAAGGACATGACTAAACAATCTGCAGCTTCGCGCCGTCTAGGGATGGGTGGGTCCGGTGGCTTCGCCATTTCGTTCGGCGTCTCAGGGCCCCTGCGTGTCCGCCTCCCGCTCCCTGGCCCCAACCGACCGAACGCGCCGCGCCGCCCGCCGCTTTGCAGGGACTGGGTGGTGCCCACCAAGGCCATGGTGGATTCGTACGCCCTCATGCGCAAGAACGGCGGAGTGGTCTTCACAAACGGCCAGCACGACCCCTGTGAGCACCCCGCAGGCCACGCCCCTTGAACCCACCTTGGCCACCTCGCACGCCCTGCACCCTGCTGCTGCTAAACCCTTGTCTCCTTGACTGCAGCCGTAGGCCATCACAAGCCTCCCCTGTTTTTACTGCGTTTCCTGGCATTTATTGCAACAACACTGCCTGCACACGATTTGCTGAAATGTGTGCAAAAATCATGATGGCCCCAAACTCCTCAGGGGCTGGCGGCGCCCCCGCTGGGCCCTCTGAGCTGTCGAGCCCGGCCAACGGCGGCATCGGCTACGTCACGTACCCCGGGGTCGCCCACTGCTCGGACTTCTACTGTGAGCGGTGGCACTCAACATAGGCTGATCAATTCTAATGTGTGCCTGCACCCTCTGTGTTGCCTGCTCAGGCGGAGGATGTGCACTCCTGCGACTGGATGCATCTGAGCGGGGGGGCGGGTGCATCCCAGGATCCTCCGACGCCCTGTCTTTAAGAATTGAGTTTGTGCCCCGGGTCGCTGTGCAGGCTTGGGGATTTTAACATGTATATCTTTCCTCCAGGAAAGTACCTGAGAAGGGACTGACTTTATCGATTGCCACCCTGCAGGGTACGACCCAATGGAGCCGGCAGAGAAGAAGGCGCTGAGGACCAAAGCCATGGGGTTCGCCATGACCTCGGCGGAGATCTGGCGCAAGGCGCGCCTGTGAGATCTCAGATCTGAACCTGTCACACACACTGGGTGTCAGAAAGTGGTGACCTTTGTTCGTGCACTCATTGCACTGCTTCCTCAAGTTTCCCATTGCACTTTTGTAGTGCACAGGCACTGATAACGCACGTTGCATTCACCGTCACGATACCTCATTGCTGACCAAGCAATGAAGATGTGCTAGTCCACTTCCTTGCACTGAAAGATGCGCAGCATAGTCAGCACTCCTCAGCACCTTCCCACCTCATCACCGCCACTCACATCAAGTGGCACCTCTAGTCAACGCAGGAGTGAAGGGTGTAAACCCATCCATGCGCACACTCCCCCGCAACGAACTGCCCAGCTCCCTGGCAGACTGCACACGCTCGCCAGCAGGCAATGCACACGCATTTGCTTTACCACATTTATATCGAGCGCGTCGGCACTGCCTGCTCAGCTGATGGGTGCCAGTAGTTAGGCAAACCAGCATTTGTAAAACACCTCGAGTTGGGTTTGCTTGCCCATCTGGCCCCCATACAAGTTGATGAAGCTGGCGGCCAAGCGCGCGCCACGGAAGATTAAACCGGCCGGCAGATGACATAAACCCATTTACTGTAGCCCGATGGGATCATGACCGCTTCGACTAAACATTTGTCAGGCCTGGCCCGGCAGCCGCGACTGCACCCACTTAAAGTCCGGCAGCAGCTGCGGGACGCGGCAAAAACAGGGGGGGGGGAGGGGCAGTCGGCTTGATTGTACAGCATCCTGCTGCCAGGGCGCAAGGGATCTCGAGGAGATCACTGCGCGACGCGGAGCCGCAGGAATTTCTGCCGTTGCGCCATAACAGGGGGTGCCCGAGCCGACGCTGCCGGCCCGAACCTCGGCAGCTGCGCGCAGCGAGCGGCCCTCTGCAAAAATAAACGTGCTGTCGAGCATACCGCGCGGCGGATCCCCGTGGAGTGCACGTGTGCGCGTGGAGGGCGGGCCGGGTCCGCCCGCCGCTCACCTGGCAGATCACTCGGCCCCTGACTAAGGCCAGCGGCACGGGGCCGTACTCGCGGCTGTCGCGTGACATGATCAGGTTATCCCCCTGCAGCCATATGTGGCCGGTGGGCACCTGGGCCGTCGGCGGCATTGTGATTTTGGGGGGCGGGAGCGGAATCCGAGTGTTGAGACGGCGCAGGCTGTCCCTTCGAGTCAGCAGGGCGGCCACAGGTCAGGCGCCACAGCGGCAGTGCAGGGCTGGGAAAATCAAGCATGTGTATACGCAGGGCAAAGGGTTGGGCTGGTCGGCCGAAACACCAGGAGTCGGAATGCTGTGGGCTGGACAGCGATGACAGCGCCCTGCCCCAGGCCACCCTCGCACATTTCCGGACTGCCGTCGTCCATCCATTGCACCCAGCAGGCGCCGAGGCTGTTATCAGATCAGGAAGAACCCGCCGTCTGCAATCGCCTTACGCCCAAAGCAGGACCAAGGCCCAAACAAAAAAATCCCTTTCATGTCGTGCACCGACCTGCAACCGCGTCGGCGCCGTGCTGCCCCGTGAATACAGCGACACCGTCTGGCCCTCGACCGCGGTGACGCGCTTGATGACGCTCTCGCGCGCGTTGACCGGCCGGATGCAGATCACGACGTCCCCTGCACGGTCAAGATTGGTCAAGATCGGTCAGCTGTCATGCCGAGCATTGGCGCGTTTCAAATCGAGCTGCAAAGATCATGGTGCTGGAAGTTCTATAACAACATGGTGCTTCTTATTCCTTGTTGGTTGTTTTGTGAAAGTCAAGGTGTGCGTGCAGAGCCGCGCCCGCGAGGACTATGCTGGCGCGCACCCGATTTTCCCTGGTCATTGCATTGCTCTGCCCACCAGCGCCCTGCCTGCAGCGCTGACTCCCTTTTTGACTGATCACCCGTCGCCCCCCACCCACCCACTGACCCGTCTCGGGCCTTCCTCGCAAGACATGCAAACCCATTCGAAGCCCATGCCCTGCTGACGTCACATGCGACCATGATTAGCCGTCTCACCGACTTCGACGCGGTCGTGCACGCCCGGCAGCGCTTCCGCCACGACCACGTTCCAGCCGCGGCCGTTGAACGTCGGGAACATGCTCGGGCCATTGACCTGGATGGGGTGGGGGCCGCGGGAAGGGTGTGCTGATTGGGCGGTGTGTTGGAAGCGGGCCGCGCGAGCGATTCGCCCTGAGCATTGATGGCCACAGCTGCTGCCGGCAGGGGCCACAGGGGTTGTAAGTTCACGGCCCTGACGATCCAGCAGCTGCTGCCGCTGCAAGCAAGGAGGATCCTCTGCAAACACCAAGACAAGGAGACGAAGGGCATCCTGGGGGTCGTCCATCAGGCGGGGCGCGACCATTCCTCCCTGGCCAGAGGTCACGTGGAAAGGCGGCCGCCCCTACGCGGCTGGGCTGCCGCCGTCCTAAGCACGCAACCGATCGACCATACAACAGCAAGGGGATGGCTGCTCCAGCATCGCTGCTGACCTGTGAGAAGAAGCCCACGTAATTGAAGGTGACGTGGAGTACTGCAGACCCCTTGCCGACGGCGACCGCCCATTTCAGCGCCGTTTGGCGCCACGATGGCGCGTCGCCCAGCAGGGCACGGCCCCACCAGCTCATCGGCCGGGGGCGGCCGCCACGGTCTGCTGCCCAGAGAGCCGGGGGTGCGGCCCGCCCGCCGCGCGCGCCGCCGCGCGCAGCGGCGCGTGAGCTGCTGACGCTACGCCGCCGCGGTCATTTGCACGAGTGGGAGAGGGCTAGCCGTTCCGCAATATGTATAATTGAGAGTTGAGTTATTGTGCTATCAAGCTGTCGCTAAAACGAATGCCGGCAATGCTGAGAGATCGCAGCAAGCACGATCTATCCGTACTACAGAAAGTGCTTTGATGTCTACTCTTGAGGAATGCGAAGCACAAGGAGAACCGGCAGTGTTTCGGAAACTAGTGTCCGGCTGGCCTGCACTGCACAAATGGGCCGGGCAGGACGGCGTCCGCCACCTCGACGCCGTCGCCGGCGGGGCGCGTGTGCAGGTGAGGCGCTAGGCGGGCCTCGCTCGGCCGGCTCCCATATCAGTCCACCACAGCTCAGCTCAAACCTGGCGCGCCTCAGCTGCTAGCGTTCCGCCCTTTGCGGTGGACGACCTGCCTGCGGCGCGCGACGCGACCCCGCCCCGCGGTCGGCGCCCCGATGTTGCGACGACAAGGCACCGGCCCGCCCCCCTGCCGCAGGCGATGATGTCATCATCTTCCGAATTCTACGGCAACATGGATAGCCATCAGCCCACAGGCGCGCTGGTGTTTGCTGACGCGGCCACATCATCGTCACTCCGTCTTAACCTAGAGGCACTGCCGGGCGGTGGCCATCTGCTGCCCATGCCGCCGGCATGCCAGCACCCATGCCCGATGCGGCAGCCCCGCCGCCAATGCCTTTGAAACTCCCAAAACCCTGCATTTCCATCCAGAATGCCTGCTGTCGGACGTGCTCGCCCTCGCGGATCGGCAGCTGGAGGGGCGGCGAGCGGTGACGCGCGATGACATCAGCGAGGAGGAGCGGGACGGCGACGTTTTCATGTACTTGGCACAGCAGCCGCTGATGTCACCGGGTAAGGGGGTATCGAGTTCTGTGTGCGCGCGTGTGTGTGTGTGTGTGTGTTGGGGGGGGAGAGGGGTGTATCAACAGGCGGCGGGAGCGAGGGGTGCAGCAGCAAGCGGGCATCATCCCACGAAGGTCAGCCACGGCTCGAAAGCCTGCACTGCAGTCATTGAAAGAAAGCAAGGAATCCACCCCGCTCGGCTGAAAACACACAACAAGACGCTGACCAAAACGCACATGGCCCCAAACTCTTCCGCCTGCAGGCCTGGAAGCGCTGGCGGAGGACGTGCCGCGGCCTCAGCTGCTGGCGGCCAAGGACGTCTCCGCCACCAACCTCTGGCTCAGCCCGCGGTAAGAAGACCCCGCTATGCGACTGCACTGCACGGTCTGCACGCTGTTGTCGCTCTCTGCCCGCTCCTCCCCCGCGCAGCCCTGGATCCATGCAATCTAGCGGTTCCCCGCTTGGCGCACCCTGCACCTGTCCGACCCCACTTTCATGTAAGACATGGCAAGTGTACGACTAGATTATCATGTATGCGCAATACACAGCTCAATCGTGTCGTCGTGATAAATCCATCAAGACAAGAAGCCCGCTGTGCCTCACCCTTGCGCCAGTCCAGGTCCAGCCGCAGCAGCCTGCACTACGACCCCTACCAGAACCTACTGGCCGTCGTGGCCGGCCGCAAGACGGTCACGCTCTTCTGCCCCGAGGCGGCGCCAGCCATGTACCCCCGATCGGTGGGCAGGGGTTGATGCCGGTGTGGAGGGGGTTAGCAAGATTGGGAGTGCATGTGTGTGTGTGTGTGTGTGTGTGTGCGTGCGTGCGCGTGTGTGTGTGTGTTTGTGTGTGTGTGTGTGTGCGTCTGTGCGAGTGCCGGCATTTGACTCCACGTTGACCAAATCCACATCCGCCAGCGTGTGCACGTTTCTCTGCTGCATGTATCACCGGCTGGCGGGCGACTTTCAGGGCAGGGTGCAAAGTTGCCACTGTTGGGCGGCCCGATCGAGCCGGCTGCATCTGCGGTGCTGATTTCCTCCATCCTATAGCCATCGCCCAGCCCACAACCCCACACGCCTTGCCTCCCACACTGCCTGCTGTCACTTTTTCTGCCACAGCCGCTGGGGGAGTCCCCCAACCACAGCTCTGTCAACGTCGGCGCCCCCGACTGCGCGGCGCACCCGCTGCACCGTCTGGCGCGGCCGCAGGCGCTGCGGGTCACGCTGCTGCCCGGGGATGCCCTGTTTATACCTGAAGGGTGGTGGCACCAGGTGGGAATGTCCTGAGGGGTGGTGGCACCAGTTGGGAATGTCCTGAGGGGTGGTGGCATCAGGTGGGGCGGGGGAGTTGCATGCTCGGCGAGTAGGGGTCGCACCCAGCTGGGGGTGCTTTTGCACGCCACCGGTCACGGGGCGGTCCCAGATGGCGGCACTAAGGTGGGCTGCCAGTGCATGCTGGCTGCCCAGCGAGGCGCTCCAGCCTGCGGCGATGCTTCGTTGGCCTTGCCCACTGCGTGCACATGAGGGGCTTGGGCACATGCACGCTTAGGGTGCTTCTGTCCTCGTCCTTCCTCTCTCTATCCCACCTTGTCTCTTGTTTCCTTGCAACCACTTTTGACCACAACGATGCGTGCCAACACACGCACGCGCGTTTCCCTCACCCCCTTAACAGGTCGACAGCGGTGACGCAACCATCGCAGTCAACTTCTGGTGGGCGTCACCGCTGACGTCAGCGCTGCGGAAGCTGCCCCACCTCCACCACTACTATTTGCGCCTGCTGCAGGTCCAGACGGGACTGGGAGCAAAGGGATGTTTTCCACATTGGAACTTCGCACTGAGCTGCTGCTCAGGTGTCTATCTGCCCTTCAGCAACTATCCTTTGGGCTGTGGCGCAGTGCGACCCTCCTGCCACCCCAGCTGCAGCCTCTTGCAGGCCGATGCAACACCTGGCCACACGTAGAAGTAAAGGTGCTTTGCATCGTCTAAATCTGAACACAGACCTGGTCTGCCACGCATACTCACCCCCCCCTGCAGGCCAGCGTTGTGGCTCGCGCGACGCAGGGCCTCTTGGATTCCCTTTCGCCTGCTGCAGCCGGCGGCGCACACCATGACGCGACGGCAGCGGCGGCGGCGGCAGCAGCAGCAGAGCGCTCGGTCAAACGGCCCCGTACGGATGCAAATGCAAGTGGGCGATCCCAGCAGCACGCGGCGTCCGCCGCAGCCAGCGGCGGGGCGGGCAGAGAAGCGGTTGAGATTCTGGCCGGGCTGCTCAGCCGCGACGCGAGCGAGGTGGCTGCGGCCAAGGTGCAGGTTGAGGCGTGGAGGGCCGCGTCGCAGGAGACGGGGTGCAGAGAGGCCGTTGATGGGGATGAGGAACAGCAGCCAACAGTCTCAAATATAGAGCAGCAGGAGGAGCAGGAGCAGGAGCAGGAGCAGGGGCAGGAGCAGGAGCAGGAGCACCAAGAACAGCAACAGCAGCAACAGCAGCCAGATTTGAACCAGCATTCAGCCCCACAGCAACAGCAGAACCAGGAGCGGGGCAAAGGCGTGGTTGGGCAGAGCCTTTGGGAGGACAGTGAAGCCTGGCGTCGCCGCGCGGCTGCCAGCCAGCAGCGGCTGACACGCGCCGCCGTTGAAGTGTCGGCGGCCGCACCCGCCGCCCCTGTGCCGGCAAGGGGCGCCCGCCGGGGCGCTGGAGATGCAGCCCCCTGCTGCGGCTGCAGCAATGGCAGCGGGTGGCCAGAACACGCAGCACCAGCAGCAGCAGCAGCAGACACACTCGGCCTGACGGACCCAATTACGCACGTCTTTGCTGGGCTCGCACCCCTGCAGCTGGCCAGCTCGCTGCACCTCCTCGCCAGTCGCACGCCGGCGGCTCTGCGCCTGCTGCTAGAGGACCGGCTGCAGCCCGTGGGCGCCGAGCTGCTCACCGGGAAGCTGGAGGAAGCTGCCGAGCAGCTGGAGGGGCGCAGTGCCGCACGGGGGCGGCACCAGCAGCGCGGGGGTGGGGGCGAGGCGCAAGCCGGCCCAGGGCTAAATGAGGACGCATCGGCGTCATCATCAGAAATGGTGTCTGAGTCAGCATCACGGGGCGCGGACGAGCTGCCGTTTGGCTCCATGCGCGAGGTGTATGCGGCTATGTACGGGCCAGAGGTCGGCGCCGACCCGGACAAGGTGTTGGGGCGGCTGCTGAGGGGGAAGCTGTTGCTTGCAGCCGCCGTGGCGCATGCTGTGCTGGCGGACCCGTGTGTAATCGATGAATAATTGCTGGCGTTGTACCACTGCATTCCCTCAGCCAGGTCAAAACCTTACTTTGTGTTGCTGTCAATTACATTAGTTGCACACGGCTAAAGATTGTGTCAGATTATGGTAGGAGTGATGGAGGCCGAAGGGGCGGACGGCGGAATCAGGTGTGAGCAGCAGTTCTTCGAAGTCATGGTCAAAGTCAAACGTGGTGGCGCATAAGGCCTGCCAGGTGTCACATAGCGCCGTGCTGATTTAACGCCGTGCGGTCACCGCCCAGTGTGCTGTCAGGGCATCCGCCCTGCCGACCAGCCGCGTCATGACAGGGAAGCTAGGTACGCCTCCTGCCGC